TTAAAACACGTACATACTTACTGTATTATATTGCACTCTTACTGTTTTCTTTTTTACATTAATAATGTAAATATTACTTTTAAAAATATTTATAAATAAAATTTTTTATGTAATTTTTACTTATATAATTTTCTTTAACATTATATGTAAATATATAATAAAAAAGATTTATTAATAAATATTAAAACACGTGCATTTATACTGGATAATATTCTAATAAAATAAACTCTTAAGTTTCTTGCAATATTTATGTAAAAAATGTTTTATTAATTAATAATTAATTATATATTTCGTTAATTTTATTTAATATTAAAAAGAAATAAGTTAATAAATAAAAAATCTTAAAATATATTAAATTTTAATTCAAACTGTTTTCTATTTGTCTGTTACATAATTTAATGTTATAATTAAAAGTAGTTTTAAAACTCTTAAAAGTAGTTTCCAAATAATTATTTGGAAAAATTTGACAAAAGTTGCTCAAATGTTAATTTTTTATTAATAAGAAAAATATGTTTATGCGTAGCTTCTCTGGCAAATAAAATCTGGCTTAAAAAAATCATTTTATAATTCTAAAAGGGACCGATAATATTCATTTTGCTATCTATGCTGCAATAACAGCAATTATTTGATGTAATAACTTTCTTATAACATCTTGTTGATAAATTTTACAAATTCTATGATGTACGCCACAAATCGCGATTGCAGAAATTGAATTCGCATTATTATTTGTTATTTTTATAAATTTTAGAATACTTTTTTGTTTATCTTTAGAATAATTTTTAATTCCGAATTCATTTGAATTTTCAGAAATTTAAAAAAAATTATTTCTTTTATTATAATTTCTTTTAATTAAATAGCCAGTACAAAATTTTTTATGCACAATGACATATAAATTGACATATACAGAGTGTTCCCAAAAAAATGACCAAGCGGTCATATGCAGAACAGACTAAATTGAGTCGAAAGATCCTGTACTATCTTGCGATTTTCGCAAAATAGGACCGCCTAATGAGGCACTCCGTCGCTAGGCATGCGTGGAGTTAATTGTAGGCATTGGCTACGCTTTCATCTATGTATGTTACGTGCGCCTCGTG